TGGGGGGGGGGGGGCTTCCCCTAGATCCACCACTGCTTGCGAACGTTTACACTATTTCATAGCTTTCCTTAGAGAGCTTCAAAACGCCTAAAAAATGAAGCTCATTGGAAAATCATGATAAATTCTACAACTGAAAAGGATAAACGTTACGCAACAAAGAGAGTTGTCTAAGAGACTTATCTAGCGAAACATCAGTTAAAAACTTATAGAATTGAAGTGAAACAATCAATTCTGATCAATAATTTTAGAGGGCGTCTTAATAGCAACAAATTATTTCTAAATAAAAATGATAAAAACAACGACCTAAATACTAGACAACTTCTTGCACTAAATGATCAAATGTCAGAGAAATAGTGAAATAGTATACTTTTTAATCTGACAAGGAGAACCTACAAATCACGAACGTTTGCTGCAAATAAATTTATAATATACTTGGGTAAAAGGTTACTAGCTAAACTGTTGCAGCAAAAGGTTAAATGTTTCAGAAGCAATGGCTAAAATGGCTCCATTTCTGCTGTTCCTGATTGAACAACAAGGACCACCAAAGTTGTGACTAATCAAGATTGCCGTCAACAAATTTATCACAATCGTGTAAAAACTCACTAGATAGCTCTTAGGTGAGCCAATGGTGAAAGTTAGAAGAGAAATTTGGAAAAATGGCTCAATTTTTGTTTAAACAAAGAGGACCTTCAAGTTGCAAATGACGTAGCCTTTTAAAACTAAAGTTTTTGTGTCATGAGTGTGTATGCCGCTACAGTTCTAACTAGTCAACAATGTCACTCCAAATACAGCTTCTATCATGTTAAAGAACGCTTTTAGATCGGAATAATCAGTGAATTCCAAGTTGTAAACTCGTCGACCTGTTATGACGGACGCAACTTGTCCCAGGTTCCCACTTTGATGAGCTCCGATTCTTCGCTTGCGCCAGGCATACTTCTGGGCACTGGAGACGAGTCGCCCTGGCTGCACCATGCGGAGGCCTGAAAGAAAGGTTTTTAGTGACAAATTTATTTTAAGGTGTAACTTATCAATATAAAAATAGTTTTAAGGATGCACTGTTCGAGTACAGCACATGCACAAAGAAGACGTAATTACCAGGTGTTTTGTACAAGACAATGCACAATGTGGTGGAATCATTAATTTTGTTCGAATTTTGCTTTGAAAGGGATAATAAAAAACCGGGTCCCTTCTTGTATACATGGCCTGATCAATTCGAAATTTCCAAAACGTTCGTTCGGATTTTCTTAGCTCTTGGTAACATGCGCCGTTTTTTACTCTTGAAATACAGTTCATAGGACAAAAGCTAAGGGGAAAAAACATTCTAAATTATTCGAAATTTTGCGAATTCTACAGGCAACAAAATCACATCAAATTCAACAAACCATGCAAACCTAGGCGACGATAATAACTTAATTAACTCATGAGTTTTGTTACCTTTCAGGTCAATTATTTTTTTGGTTTTCTCGTTCTCGTCCGTTCCTCCTTCCTCGATTCTTGACCTCAACTCAAGTTTGTGAGCATCCTCGGTGAAAAATATTTCTCCAAAGTGTGGCCATTTGTTTCCTAAAAAGCAAGATGGTTAAAAAACGTTAGAAATAACCCAAGACCAAAGATGCAAACTGTCGGGTCAACTGAAAGTCATAGAAAATATTTCCTCAATAGACCATTTTACAGTTGTCTGCTAGGTGACCTGGCCTTTAAATAACAGCGAGGCTGGAGGTGACCTTGCTTTGATACAGACCTCTACTTTTGTCAGGTAAATCCACCTAGTTAGCATTAAAACAACTTGATTTACACAACAAAAGCAGTGAGGTCTGTGTCAAAACAAAGTCACCTCCAGCTTCGCTGCCATTCAAAGGCCAGGTCATTGAGCAGACAACTGTAAAATGGTCTATTCAAGGAATCAGTTAAAAACTGACAGCATTTAAAGAGAGAAAGCATTTACGTCATCTCCAGTCTTCTTCGCAGTTTGGGTCGTAATCCAAAGAGCATTGCATGGCGGCTCAAATTATGGTGGGAAAGTACGCTATACGTTTCAACAAACTGGTGAAAACATTTAAAAGAATACGATTTACAGGCGTGGACAAGCGTGGACTTAAGCGTTTTAAATGTCTCCATATTGCAATCCATCTTTTTAGCGCTCGTCACACTCTAGAGGTTTTTGTTATTTGCCGAGCGCTGTCCTACAAGATCATTCTGCTACTGCTCTACTTCCTTCGCCAGAGAATAAACATTAAGCGCGTCTTTAAACCATTCTCTAATAACGACGTAACGATACTCGGAAGCGAAATAAAAGCCATCAGCCGACTTTTCATTATTGAAACGCTGTCAGAGCAAATTACCTTTCTTTGAGTGAAGAAATACTTTTACTCCGCTGCAAAGTTTTTCCACGGCTCGTCTTTGACGGAATGTTCTTGAGGGTCTGGGGAATTCCGGGAACAACAAGCGGTAGTTGAATGCAAGGGCTGTCGCTAGGATACTACCTGTTACGTGAGCATTGGGTAACTCACTCAATGAGTAATGGTCACCAGGACAAACGAGCACCGTTGTACCTCCATCGACCAACTGGCCCCATACTTCCTCGACACTGTCCGATGAGCGAAGCGTGGGCGAGAAGCGGGCGTTTTGGCTTTTGAGAAAGGTGAGGGGACCGCGATAACGAACCTAATAATAGAAAAAGAGTCAAGAAAAGAGCTATTATGTCAAAGTTTAATAATTTTACTCTACTCGTGTTGCAGCCAACGCATCGATTACCGTTTTCCCGAAAATTGCAATAGGTTCCAAAGGACCTTCGTTATACAAGAGTCCGTTATATGGATTGGTTTTGTAATTTCCAGTTAATTAAAGCGCCTCTACCTGAGGGGGCTGCCATTCTTGATGTGTCCTATTGGCAATACTTTGGTTCCTCAGAAGAGCCTCTCTGAGGGCCCTCAAATTGTACGTGGCGATGCCTTTCTCCAAGCTCCTCTTCTGTAGTTCCTCTATGATCCAGTCTTGAGTGTGCGCCTCTTTCAACTGTTTATATTCGTCTGCATCCATCTTCAAGGAATCTACTGCAAGCTTTTTCAGAAAGTTTTCAAACTGAAGCTGAAAACACGAAGAAATGAATAACTTTATGTGAATCCCTCCGTCACAATAAAAGTAACATAGTACTACTGTCGATGATGGGGCTGACCCGCCCTTTAGCTGTGGTGTTTCAAATTATGGACAAACTCATCAGCGCGTTACATGTCTGGAGATTTTGTTAATGGTAAAGGGGCCCATCCGCACTCGGTGAATTTCGTCTGTTTTGCAGTTTAGAGGTGCAGACAGTGATTGTAGCTGCACCATGTTTTGTTAACCTTTAACAATCTTCCAAAGCGGCGTCGTGTTACCTCAGAGCAAGACAAGTTCTTGTCAAAGGTCAACACCGAATTTTAAAGAGAAAAACAGTTAAGATGTTTCTCCGCCAACAGAAAGAGTCAAATTTTGTGGTTAGAAAATTAGTCGTTAATTTTTAAGGCCCCGTCCACACTATACGTCGGAGAAATTCGAAAGCGCAGCCTTATTTCAACGGTTAGGCCTACCGTCCACACTAAACCGTCACAAAAACGGCTTTGAGTTTTGGTGTTGCCGGAGAACATTTTGAAAATGGCGCTTTGTTGCCTTTTCAGAGTGAAAAAGGCCGTTTTCAAATTTCTTCGGCGCAGTGTGAACGGGGCTTAAGTGTAGACGCGTTGATCAAAGTGAAAATTTGATGGGGACAATTGCGGTCAGCACAGTGCGTATGGGCCACCAAGATAACCGCTATGTCACAATTGAGATAAGTGTCCATGCTATGACCACCTCTCACGAACCTGAATATGTCGATGTGGCGAATTAGCATTCTCCTGCATGGAAGCCAGCCTAGTGCTGACAGTCTGTGAACGGGAATACCACGGAAATGTGTCAACCATGGCTACAAATTCTACCCTCTGGTTCTGCTCTGTCAACAAAGACGCCATTTCGTACGCAAGAAGCCCTCCGTAGGAATATCCGCCAAGAAAGTACGGTCCATGGCGCTGCTCCTC